TGATATGGAACAATGTTGGATTTCAGTTAATAAGAACAAACATGAACCAATAAGTGAATGTAGCATTATACTTTCAATTTACACTGTAATTACACATATATTAAAATAGGCAGCGTTGAATTAAATCAAACACCTGTATTGAGTATGAATGTTACACACACACACACACACACATTATCTAAGCCGCTTATCCTTCTGGGTTGCTGGGGGTGCTGGAGCCTATCCCAGCAGTCATTTGGAGAAAGACAGGAAACACCCTGGACAGGCTGAATGTTATACATGTGAGTATAATTAAATAGATCTCTGTAGGAACATAAACAGATGTGCTTTTACCGTTTACAGTATATTTGCAATTTCCCACATCTGCAGGACATACAAATATTCATGTTGATTCATTACACTAACAGCCAGAGCTGCCTCTCAGAAATGTAATTATATGTCGTTTGTTGTTATGTAGATTTTAATGAAAGGTTACATTCTCATTTGCCGTTATTCTTTGCCAGTGCAGGGCAGAATACTTTGAAAAATTAGTAATAGCTGATTACTGAATACACTGTCCTAAAGGTATTCTGTTCACACATTCTGTTACAATAGGAAAAAAAAATAATGCATTTGGAATACCTCTTGATAAGGCACATGGGGAAAACTGCTGTTATAATTTTACTTAATGCATACTGTTTCTAGCTGTTACTGGTTTGCAGTTTGCAGTTTTTTTCATTATTTAATCACTCCACCACTCCCAAACTTGTAGGAAATAGCAGTAATATTTTGAGTAGGGCAACAAAACATTTAATCACAATTGACTGAAGAAATAACTAGTGATATCTAGACTGGCTTAATATTTTTTGAAAAACAAGCACCTTTGAAATGTGGACATTTTTACTCTAAATCTTGCAAATAAAATGGGTAGCTATGCAATTTTTAATTAATGACATATACGTAACATGGCATAAGATGTACGAGAGTCAAGTACAACATTGATGCTATGCTATTTCTCGCATACATGTCCGCTACCGAGGAGACTGCTCAGTTCAATAACCCCTCAAAAGAGTTCAGTAACACTGAGATAAATGACTGGCTCATCACACTGATTTATCTGTCTACTCATGCTTTGGCAGCAACTTCAGTGTTTATAAAAAAGCCGTTTAGAGTCCATCTACATGCTGATTTTAAAATCATTAATAAACAAGCATTGATGATGTTTCTTGTAACGATTGTATGTTTTCTCTAGAGGGTAAGTATTGTATTCTCCTAAAAGTTTAAAAAGTAACAGTTTTCTGAACACTGCATTTTCAAAACATAATTTAGAAATTTCATCATTTCTGTATTCTAAATGTGTCATTGGAAGTATTCTTTTTTGTGTTAAAAGACACTGTGAATAACTTTCCAGTTTCTAGACAACCGCTGAGGCTGTTCAGGTTGCACATATTACTTTCTTTTCATTATTCAACTTATTGCAAAGAGGCCTCCCAAGGAATTAATGGGCATGCTGTATGAAGGAATGTACGAACCGTGCAGGTTAGAAAAAGAATGTGTGTTATTCATATTTACGCGATTGAACATTTCCAGTTTGAGAACCAAAGTAAATAGCTCTTTTTTTTTGGTGGAGTGTTCTACTTTCTCCAGTGTCACTCTGATTATACAAGAGCCGCACGATCGTGGAGGAAATTGGAGAGTGTAAACACTGGCAGAGCAGTGCTCATGGCTGTCAAACACATCCACATGATTGAGCACAACCTTGTGCTGCAGAGTAAACATAAGGGGAGAAGGCATGGGTGCGTCGGCCATGATGGACCCTGGGAGCGCTAGGAGTAACTGGACAAGAAGGAGTGTTTAAGAGAGATTGTATAACTCAAAGGAATCCAAACTATGGTGAAGACTTTGAGTTCAGGGTGTTTCTATGAATAAGGAAGATTATTTAAATTTTCTATAAAAAGAGGAACTTTGTTCTGGAGTTATCCTTTTTTGTTTTTGCTGTTTCTCTTATTGGTGATAACTGAAGAAGTAAACATTCATTAGTTGATCTACATTGTGGAATACTGGTCAATAGACTAGATTGCATTGTACCTGTTTATTGCGTTGTGATAGATTTACAAGTGAGATTGATGAGAAACAGAAAAGATTGATGAGAAACGAAAGACGACTATTTAGAAGCTTTTGATTAAGCATGTTAAAAATCAAGAATCCATGAAGAACACAGCTATGTCTAATTTATGAAGAACACCGTTTGTGTGACACAACAGAGGTGCTGGGAAGGCAGTACAGGCATGGGTGTTGAGCATTACATATGAAGTAGGTAATGTATGGAAAGATGGGTTTAATACAATTCAAAATTCCCATATCTTGGCATGAGAACTGTAATCTACTTGTGCATCATAAAAGACAGCACCTATTCATTGCATTTTCCCTTTGACCTGGAGCGAGTACTCTAAGAATAGCCTAGCTCCAGGCTGCCCAAATGGGGAAGATACAGCTTGGTTAACATATACGCACATTATGATTCTGATGTGAACATACCCTATAAACGTAGTTTTTTTTCATAGAATGCATAAGTGAACAAACATACTCAACTAAAAGCTGTTAACAGTCTGTAGTAGGGCCGCCCAAATCTGGTCCAAGAGAAAGTTTAATTTGACCCCTGTAAAGCCCTAACTCCACCCTTCTAACCCAGTAAGAGAACAAACATATTTTACACTATATATCTTATTGGATTTTCTTTTTCTTTTAAAATTGTATAAAAAATGCTATAAAATATTTTTTTTTCTACCTTCTTTATTTGTCATTTTGGCCCTTGGGCCACCTCAAACGTTGCACTTTGGCCCCCAAGACAAGAACTTTGGGCAGCCCCATATCTAGTGTTTAGCAGAACTATGATGAAGGCTCTGAATTCAGGTTGTTCCTATGAACAAAGAAGTTTAATTTTTTCTATAGAAAGAGAAATGTCATTCTGAAGTGTGGAAAGAGGAACTTTGTTCTGGAATGATTCCTTTTTTTGTTTTTGCTGTTTCCCTAGAACTCTTCTTGGTGATAACTGAAGAACACTGGTCCGCGAAGTAGACTGTATTTGTACTGTTTTTTTGCTTTGTTATACATTTACAAGTTAAGAAGAGATTGGTGAAAATAGAAGACGACTTAGAAGTTTTTGGTTAAGCATGTAAAAACTCCACCAGAGGACCAAGAATCCATGAAGAATACAGCTACAACATCTAACTCAATCCACACATGAAGAACTCTATTTGTTATGAAACGACAGAGGTGCTGAGGAGGCAGCACAGACATGGGTGTAAACTACTTGTTTTGTTATGCATTACATATGAAGTGGGCAATGTTTGGAATGATCGGTTTAATGAAAAAAATACAATGAATTCCCATGTTTTGGCATGACCTTGGCATGAGAACTGTAATCCACCTGTGCACCATAAAAGACAGCACTCATTAATTGCGCTTTCTCTTTTCCCTGGAGCCAAAACTCCAAGAACGGCATAGCTCCAGACTGCCCAGGTGGGAAAGACACAGGATATACACAACTTATGATTTTGAATGAACATATGCTGTAAACATGCAGTTTTTCATAAAATGCATAAATGAAAAACATCCCAGTACATCAGAATCCAACTATAAAAGAGCTTGAGTTTGGCCCAAGAGAATGTTGAATTTGGCCCCTGAAGAACTACTCTAACCCCACCCCCATCCCAATGAGAGAACACACATATTTTATACTATAGATCTTATTCGATTTTTATTTGCTTTTATTTTTTTTTAATTAAAGTGCAATGTTATATTTTTTTATTTGTGTCGTTTTGGTCCTTATTGGCTCACCACAAACGTTGCACTTTGTCCCCCCAAGGCAAAAACTTTGGGCAGCCCCATGTAAACAGTGTTCAGCAGAACAGATTGTAGTTCACCTCATTTACGTTCAGCGTAGTAGTCTTCCTTCAGACTACAAAAAAACGTTTTCTCCTCAAACTGTTCACTCATACATGTATGTGACGTTCAAGTATTTATTCACTAACTCGCAATTGTTAGCACATGGCCACACGGGCTCGGCTTTGTGCCGAGAACTTCGCCTGCCTTCAACTCTCACGGCCGCAAACACTGGAACTACTGAGTGGAAGCCGTTAGCTGTGTTACGGGGAGAGCAGAGTAAACAGCAGCGTCGTTTTCGGTGTAAATAAGAGACGGGAGAAGACCCTCAGTAGTCACCAGCTCACCGTTTTAAAACACTTATTATCGTGGCTCATTAAATAATGAAGAAAGCCGCCACTAAATAGGTCAACTCGCTCCTCGAAACCACCTTGGAAAGCGTTTGAGCTCGAGCCGAGCGCTAGCGGCGATAACCCGGAGAGGGGCCGGGCTTCTTTAAGGCTCCCCTGAAGTTTGAGATGCACACGCGAGAGTTTCTCTGCTTGGGTGGTCTCTCTACTTTGGTGAGCTGTTGCTAAGCAGCTAATAATAGTCGTGTTTGCTGAGTAATTTTTGCCCTTCTGGAACCAATCAGATGCGAGAAACCGCGGCCATCTGACAGAGCTGGAGGCGGGCTCTCGAGTCTTTTCTCTTTTTTTCGCTCGGCCTTACCCCTCCTCCTCTGTCTCCGAATGGAGAGTGCTCTTTTTTCTCATCTATTCAATCTCAGAGATCGCCGTGTCCCGCGGCCTGAGCCACATCGCGCAGAGCCCGCAGAATGCTCCGAGCGCAGAGCGACCGAGCCCGCCGCCGCCGCCGTTCGCCCGGAGAGCGCCGCCTCCGCCTCGCCTTCTGAACCCAGAGCGTGTGGAGAGGGAACGCGGTGGATGCGGGAGTCGCAGGAGAGGAACCTCCGGATCGCGAAATGTTGGAATGGAAGGCGCAGACTGTGACTCGCCGTCCCAAACAGGACTATGAAGTGCTTTGTGGCTCCGGGAACGCCAAGAGAGAAACTCCGCTTCCTTCGGATAGCCAGACGCGCTTACGGGGGGATATACTAACGTGGATAACGAGAAGCCCAGCGCAGACCGTGCAACATGGCCTCGGCTGTTAATGTCTCCTCCGAGCAGGAAAACAGGGACCCCGATCGGCCGAGGGTAGCGCGGAGGAACAGGGGCAGCAGTCGCGCAGCCGCCTCGGATTTGGAGTACTTGCAGCGACCGAGTTACTGCGATGCCGCGTTCGCGTTGGATCAGATCTCGGAGGTGCATTTGTTTGCCTGGCTGTTTATTTTTATGTGTTTGCTGCGGAGACGGGTCGGTGGGGGACAGCCCTGAAAACTCACCCAACTTTGGTTAAGTCTCTGTAGGTAACGGTGTAGCGAGGGAGCCGACAGGGTTGCCTCTGAGAGGAGGACCGTGAGACGCCGAATACCCGCGTATCTCTGCTGTTTTCGCTCCGTAGTGTCTCCGAACAGACGTTCATTCAGGTTTTCTACGAGCTAACTGTCAGACAGACGCGAGCTACTCCGCTACCCGTTAGCCCCACCTAGCAGCCCGTGTGCAGGTCAGCGCGAGACCACGCTAAACACGCTCCACACACACACCTCGTCAAAGAAGCCAGACGCTTTTTTCGCGATAGTATCTACACGGGGAGTAGTTTTCCTCCCGTGCTGCTGAGGCAGAATCCATGTGGCTGCCCTCTTCCGTTCACAAATATTGTCGTAACTCCCTCCGTGATGGCTGCTTTGCTTCCCCCTCACACGGCGTCGCGCGGCTCTATGGCAATGAGCGTAACCCACGTGCACCTCCGCCTTTACATCAGTTTGACACAGTTTTGTTGGTCCAGCTCGCAGCTAACACTGTTAACACATAAAGAGTCGCCATAAAGAGATGCTAGACTATGTGTGTGGCACAAGCAGCCCTCGGTGTGAGTGCTAGTCTCCCTCCAAGCTGGAACACGAGAGCTGAGCTCGGTTACCGTGTGTGGAGTCAGGCTAGTAGCTCCGAGTACGACCGTTACTCTCGCGAGCTCGCCGTAAACATGAAACACAGAGCGTAGAGAGGCAGTAAATAGCCTCAACAGTTAGCTGGGAGTTTTGACCACTAGTCCTGTCACCACCGACAGTGTTGTTTACGCCAGCTGTCTGTGCTAGCGACACTGCCTTGGATACAACGTTAAGTTTTCAGATGTTTCACACAGAACTACAGGCACTGTCCAGTGAAATGGAGCATTAATGTTGTTTTCTTGTCTCGTCGTAGGGTAAGGCGACTGGAAGGAAAGCACCGCTGTGGCTGAGAGCACAGTTTCAAAGACTTTTGTTTAAACTTGGCTGTTACATACAAAAGAACTGTGGGAAGTTTTTAGTCGTGGGCCTTTTAATATTCGGAGCTTTCGCCGTTGGTTTAAGGGCAGCTAATCTGGAAACGGACGTGGAGAAACTCTGGGTGGAAGGTAAGAGCTCCCTTCTTTTTAACTCTGTCTTTACCCCGGTGTTTTCTTCGGAGTGTAATGAGCGCAGAGCTGGAGCCGTGGGTGGGATGGTGAGGTCTATTCGTGCGAACTGTTTATTGTATAGGAGCCTGGCAGAGCTCCAGAGAAAGCGTGAAAAACGTCTGTTTTATTTTTGTCCTCACTTCTCGCTTCAGCACTTCGTGTTAAACCGCCGCTCTCGGGCGAGGGTCGTGGGCGCGCGAAGCACAGCGAAGTTTCCTCCACGGCTCCTCAGAAAGTCATAATAACGCTTTTTTAGGAGAGAAAAGTTTGTCAAAGCCGCCATTTTGTGAGTGTGTGCGAGTGTGTGTGCGCCTCCAGCAGTGGAGTGTGATCCGCTCTGCTCGCTGCCTGTGTGTGGTCCTGTTTTTTTGGACAGCTTTCAAACCTTTCCACAAAGATTTGTCTGAGGGTTAAAGGAGGAAGAGAGCGAAACGCGGGCTCAACGCTCAGCCCTCAGCCGAGCCTCCCTTCACCCAGCAGACAGAGCGGTGTGAAGTGATTTTTAAGCAATTTGCTGTGTTGTGAGAGTAAGTGTGTGTGAGTGTGTGTTGTGAGGGGGTTTGGGCCCCGTAGTGCGGGTGGTGGTGATTTTTTCGCGAGGGGAGGGGCGAGCTGCTCCTTTGATCCACATTCCAGCAGTTTTGAGAACTTTCAGCAGCGCCGATCGGTCAAAATGTGGAAACGCATTTCTGAAAACACTCCTGTTTTAGTGATGGCGTTAAGTGATAATAATACACTCTGTGACTGCGTCCAAATCCGCGTAGTACCGTACTAAAAATGTCAAAACACACTTCACCATCTTTAGTACTGCGTTCAATAGGATACTGTGTGCTAGGGCTGGGCAATACGACAGTATATATATCGTTATCGTGATAAATTATGTAACAATACGAGCTTTTCTCAACATATCGTGCACATTGTTAGTACCCGTAGAGCACTGACCAGCTGAATGTTTAAAAAAAAACCATTATATTCACAGTTTTTGGTGGTATTTTTAAAAATATAACACTATTGGTTCTTTTTTCTTAGTTTTAAACTGATCAGATGCCTGAATAAATAAATATCATGACATATTGTGTATAGTTAAAACTTCTTGAAGTATCGCAATATAATGTTTTGCCGTATCCCCCATCTCTACTGTGCGTAATGTGGTGTATGGTTTTGAATGCAGTCATCTCACATAGTGGTAAATAATAGAAATGTACTGATATGAGAAGTATTAGCCAAAACAGAATTTCGATATTTTCCATGTACATATCTGCCAATGCCGATACATAAGCGTTTATAAAATGTAGAATACATCTACTGAGCAGGGATGCCCCGATATGGGAATGGTGGGCCAACACTGATATTCAATATTTTCGTATATATGTATATATATATATATATATATATATATGTCGTTCTGTCGATGCTGATACATAAACATTTATAAAAGTTAGATATTGAGAGACTACATCTGTTTAATAGGGACGCACTGATATGGGAATAGTGGGCCAATGTCAGTATTACAGAGCTCAGTAAATACGTCATCATGTATCAGTTTGAAACATCAGCCAGGGCTAAACATCTTAAAAGCAATGATCTGCTGATGCTGATATGATAGTGCTGTGTTAGTAAATAAACCAACTTTGTGTCACTGTTCTGCAGTGATATCAGGGCTGCATGAGCCACACAAATACAGTCACATGTGGTTTAAGCACTAACAATTGCTTCCATTGTTTTGAAGTCTGTAAATGTGCACATATGAGGAAACACTGCTCTCACTATTGTATTTAAACTGTTGAAAGTGCAGGTTTGGTGACATTGTGTATCCTCTGTTAAGGTTATACTGAATATGGCTTTACAGTACAAGGTGCACCTTTGATGCACTTAAACAGGAAAGGTGTTCAATCTGCACTGTGTGTTATTAACTGGTAATTATCATGGCAATTATCATTTTTTTCTTTAAGATACTTCAGTTTGTTGGCATGAGCACTATGATGCCACATTGCTTCATGTGAACACAGTGTTCTTTCAGCAAGTACAGTCGCTTTGCTCTAAGATGCGCTTTCAGCTGACAGGCGAGTGCTGCTGGACACACGCGCACCGCTCCTCAGAGATCCAGGTTGGGAGATGTAAGAGCTGCCAGATGCAGGAACACTGAAATCTGTTTGGATGAAACTCCACAGCTGAGGGATAGATCAGTTCTGGCTGTCCAGGGTTTTGGGCCGGGAGTTGTCGGCCCCGTGTCCATTAGGATGCATGTTTATGTTTCATTTGGAACAGTCGCGCTGGCGACCTCCAAATGACCCTGCAATGGAGCTTTGTCTCGTACCTTCCCCATAAGTTCAGCTTGAATGGGATTCAGTGTGATCTCATCTTGGCTTTCATCACTTGCCATTTAGGGCTGTGTGGTCCAACAAATATAATTTGTTTGGTTGCTTTACAAATTTTACAGTTAAGATGGATGTGATTTGTGCCTTCACGGTGTTGTCGGCTCCAAAGTAGACCACATCCACTCGCACTGTCTAAAAATATCAGAAAGAAGTGTGTTTGTTTCAGCTTCTGATGTTTGTGTGAGCTGATGAAAGGGATACCATAGACGGAAAGAAAGGAGCAAATCATGTGGACCACATCCTGTAACACCTTGTGATAAATATGATGATTGTGCAGTTTTCATTTGTGTTGAGAATTTGATTCATTGTAGAGATTGTTAGTGCATGTATTTTTACATACATGAGACCCATCATCTAGAAAACATAAAGATTCCACATATACAACTGCAAGATCTCTAGAAAGGAAGGTTTATTGGTGTTTGTTAATAGGCATGTCTCAAATGCACCAGCTCAATGCTTACATAAACATGTTATGAGCTTCTGTTAAAGCGGAATAATGATGTCTCTGAAAGCATCAGCTTTTAAGAAGGTTGTAACTTTTGTTCGCAGCAAAAAGGCTTGTGAAGCCTTTCTGAACCAGTTCATACAAAGCTTTAGAAAGATGGGAATCAGACATCGCCACCTGACAGTTGGGTTTGTCTTCACACTGTACAGTGCTCTGCCTGCTTTTTCAAAGGCTGATGAACTTCTTTCATATGAGCTCAGATGTAGTGAAAGTTGTTTTTGACTTCAAAATGACTAGTTAACACTTTTGGAATTTGAAATGTAATAGCTGGATTAGACATTCTGAATGCTCACATTCTTCAGATTGTCAGTTTACAAGCTTTAAGACAACAATCCATAAATGTCATCCAGAGCTGGAAACAAGGATGTTATGGAACAGTGGAGTTGTGGCAAACATTGGAGCTCAAGATTATAGGAGCAGCGGCCATATTTTTGGCATTCCAGGTTTACAAAAACACAGACTCAGTTTTTTTTTAAAAGAAAAAACAGTGCCGTCTGAATTTAATTAAAACAGTTTCACATAAACATTTGCCTTCCTGTAGGCCATCCCCCCCTTGGTCGGCTGGTGGAAAGGAACTCCCCCTGCAGTGAAATCATTGAGATATTGAGGCTTGGGCTGTCCCATTCTCTTCTAAACGGGAGAGGGGGGCATGAAATAGGGGGCCACAAGGCTGTGTCCCTCAGGGCCTGAGGTCATCAAGTGGAGTCTCCACTATTTAAAAGCTCATCTGATACTGGCTGAAAGGGCCTGGTGCAGAGTGAGGGGTTCCAGCCTAGGCCAGAGATGGATCAAGAGAAAACCATGAAGAAAAAGCAAGCACCATTAGGCAATATCTGTTTAATTGTTGAATGACCTTTATAATTAAGACCAGCCAGCAAAGTATTAGATGTACCCAGCAGAGGGCAGTATGATTTTGTTAGTGATTATGATCAATATGACTTATCACAGATTTGAGAACCATCCATTGATTGCACTGAGTCAGTGTGGTCTTCCATGTTTGGCTTTTAAACTTGGTGGATTCCAGCAGAAATAAAAGCCCACCTCATACAGTAAATCCTGACAGGTGGCAAAGAGAGCATCCGCAAGCCTGTTCCGCTTCTCCATTCAAAACATGATGGCGATTGATGACTAGCTTGTTTTCCTGGTATTACTTGAGTGTTTGAAATGTGATGCATATGGTTAAAAAAACATGTTCTCTTTTAATGTGGACGAAGCAGCCCAAGAATGCAGCCTCCCCATTCTGTGGCGAGGAGAGTGGGATCCGATTGAATTATCCCTGTTTTGATGTGCACGGGAAAGCTTCGCCACACATGGTTGAACTGGAAGAGAAGTATGCAGAGCCCTCGGGCCTTCAGGTCTTAAGCCGGCAAGGAGGAAGATGAGGAGGAGGCTGGAGCAGCCTGAAGCTGGGTGGCCTCCGACTCTGCGGGTTTGTGGGTGTATAGTCTGCTTATGTCCTTGACTTACCCATTTGGCTGTGCTGGTATTAAGCACTGCTGTCTCTTTTGGAGTGGTTGGCTAAGGATTCTTTGCATAGTGAATGGTCTTCTCCAGAAATACACTGACTCTTTAAACTGCAACGTCTAATACATAGGCCAGTTCAGTTCCTCACTCTCAAAATTCATATCAATTTCATGGAAGTTACAGAATAATTCATAGTAGATAACAAATAATACATCTGAAAGGAAGACTCAGCCTTATCTCTGTCTGCTGCCTCTGTAGCATGTGGTTGATTACACGGACAATAATTTCTCTGTACTTGAAAAAGAGCAGAATATGTGTTGACTCGAAACACACGTATGATAGAAGCCAATGGGCAGATGCTGAAGAATCTTGAGGGGTCACTTTTGGTGCTTAATTGTGGCTAAATCTGTTGCATCATTGCCCCTTACTTTGAGCTCCACATTCACTAGGCATTGGATTGGTTTAGAATTTTACACCCAGTTTGTTCTCACCCTAATAAGACTACACTCCAAACCACATTTATCCCAAAATTCTCCTGGTTGTCTCTGGTCTTTCTTGTTATGAGATCACATTTGGCCTTGCGAGATTTGTGCTGATGCAGGTTCCCATTG